CACTTCACCTTTCCGAGATTTAGCTTCCTTACCAGGAGAGGATTTTAGCGTCCTGGGCTGTTGTCTGAGGACTAAGCAAGCTGATGCATGTAAGTGACCCAGCTCATGCCCTGGAGCAGTCATTGTAGCAATGAGTAAGGTAACTCAGTCCAGAGAGGGAAGAGAACTTTCTGGAAAACAGTGGGTGTTGATTTGGAGCAGATGCTCTGGCCCTGGGTAGGCCATGGGGCTGGGTTTACCAGAGCAGTTCACACTCCCCAGGGCCCCTGGCAGGGCCTGAGCCTCTGGCCTGCTCCGAGGCAGCCCAGCTGTCCCCAGATGGAGCGGGCCATGCCTTCCTGCCAGTTCCCCGGCTGGGTCAGGATGTGAGGGAGGCTGCCTAGGTGTCCCGCTGCTGGCCCTGCCTGGCCAGTTTCCGGAGCTCATCCCAGAAGAGCATGCTGAGGATGGTGTGGGGGCCCAGGCGCAGGTAGGCGGGGCCCAGGCCCTTGTAGAGTGCCAGGGGGCCCTCCTGCCGCCATATCTTCACCAGGCAGTCGGCGAGGCCGCCATACAGCTGGCCCTGGGGATAGACATGGGACAGATGTTATGATGGGGCGGGGGCAGCAGGGGCATAGCTGGGTGTGTCTGTGTGTAAAGGGCTTCTGTGGCACGTCTGAAAAGGCACCCCCAAACTGGGCAAATTTCAGAAAGGTCGTCCTTTTGGTTTCAAATTTTAAAAGGGGCCTCTTCCTCTGCTAGCCACAGCCCCATGCCGGGGAGCCCAGCTTGGCTGGAGGCACACAGGTGGCTTCCACCCTGAGCCCAGCCTGCGGAGGGTACCTCTGTGTCGGGCACAGTCTGCAACACACACAGGCCTGTGAAGCCATGGGGTCGGGCCTGGACTCCAACGCAGTCTTCTCTACCCTCCAGCTGGTGACCTCAGGCAAGGTGCCTGATCTCTCTGAGCCTCAGTTTCCTCATCAGGAGAATGAAGGTGGTTGTGACAATAGAATAAAATCTGATGTGAAAATGCTTAATATATGCGTGGGACAGAGAGCTCAGCAAACCAGCCAAATTAATGTGTTTGCACATATGTCACATGTCTGCACTTCTCTGGCTGTGTGAGTGTTGGGGGTGCTCTCCAGCTCCCCACATCCTCCCCACCCCCATCCCCTGCTCACCCGGCCAGCTCCGTCCACGGGCTGATTGTACAGCCGGGTGCTGACCACATCGAAGGGGGTCATGACTGCAACCACGGCTATGCTGCTGATCATGCCTCCGGCCAGGGCCACCAGCCAGTTGTCCTCTGGGAGCCACTGTGGGTATGGTACAGGCTGCGGACCCCTGC